TGTGTCTCATGATACCAGTATTTAGGGATGGCCTCGAAGCAGGATGGGACATGCTCTCCTTTTCCCTACAGCTATTGCATGTCATTTCTTCCTGCCTCAGTTTCTTCCTTTCGAAGAGGCAATGTGTCCTGCCCTGCTTGGTGCTTCTCATGGAAGGGTACTATTGCTTTTAATTTCTTTGCTATAAAATGGCAGCAACCTCAGTTTTATCCATGTTGGAGGGAGCATGGCTTTTGTCTGGGTGGTTATAGCTGTTCAATCTGACCAGATGTCTTGTATAACTACACAAAGCCTGGCTTTTGGCTGTGCCAGCTCTCTTCTTCACGCATACCTATTTCTAGGTGGTTACCATCAGTTCAAGAGGTGGAGGGAAGTGCCATGGGGTGATGCATGTGAATAAGAAATATGCTTTTAACAAGAGATGGATCCTGCAGGTGGTACAGCCCAATGAGTTCCGTGTCCCCATGTCCCTGCTACCAGCTCATCTCACTGGGATGGGAGCTGCTGTCCCCATCATCATCTGGGTGGCCGTGGCAGCCCATATTGGGATGGAACATGGGCAATGCCAGACCACTTTCCCCAGCTCCCTGCAGCTCCATGTGCAGCAGCACCTGAATGCACACGCTGGATTAGGGGCAGTGACTTCTCTCTTGCTGTGGCCATCTGGCAGCAGGTTCCTGTGCACAACTTGCATTCGCTTTGGTGGCTGAATGGCACTGACGTGTTGGTTACCTGAAGTTCTAATTGAGATGAAGCTCAATTTGTTGGTCCCTCCTGCAGTAATTACTGCTTGCTCAGAGCTTGGCTTCTCTGAGCCTGTAGTCAGGCTGCTTTGCTTATTTACTTTTACTTGAAGAACTGAAGGTGCTGTTACAACCCTGGAGCACTTTTAACGTGAGCACAAGTGTATATACCATCAGGGATGAAAATGTTGGAACCTCCTTCAGTGAAATGGCCAATACAGGGGCAATAAATTCAGAGGAAATGGACATTATCTGCTGATTGACCTTCTTGGTACGTTAAACAGCTTTTGCTTTTGCCTTGAGGCATCTGGCTGCCTGACATGGCCAATTATCCTATGATAACATCAACTTCATTGGGTCTTATTGCTTCATTATGAAACTGCTTTAGCTGATAATGCGTTGTGATTAGCAGGCAAACGTTCTTGGGAAGGGAGATTACTCCTAACCCACCGTTTGGCTTCAGAGCGATGCAGCTTGTCTGCGGTGCAGAAGGCAGGGATGTGGGGAAGGTCCTTTCCTGCTCTCAGGAGCAGCTCATGTGGCTCTGGCAGCGGTGATGCTGCTTCCCCTGCTTTCCCCTCCAAGTCTCTTGTGACCTTATGGATCTAGGTCTTATGGTTTTAGTTAGGGCAGGAAAAGTGCCAGCATGGAGCTGCTGCTGGGGGAGCAAAAGTACTTGCTTGTCTGGAGCACCAAATCAGAGCTGTGCATGATGCTTTGTACCGTGATTGGACCTGGCACGGCCCTCCCTTTCCGTCCACATCACTGGAAGGAAGGAGAGCCTCTCTTCAAAAGCTCTTCATTCTTCCACTTATCTTCTCATCCTGGCCCATGGTGGGGCAAAGTTTATGGGCATGGCAGTGATTGGTGCTGTGAAGAAGGAAACGCTGCACATCAGAAGCCTGTTTCCTTTGCGTGTTCCTAAGATGATGCCAATGCTTGGAGTTCTGCTGTGAACCCGCTGGGGTTTTGCTCAGTGCCCCATTCCTGGAGTCCTGTGGTCATGAGAGGCTCCTCTTTTCCATTGAAAAATAGAGAATAATCCTTGGGGAGGGTGAAAAAGCATGAAAATACTGATTATCCTTTGCAAATCATTTTGGATTTGGAGCAGCCAAGTGGAGGGCTCTGGTGGAGGTGCAGCTTCTTTCAGGGAGTAGTAGGGACACCATCTCCCTCTGCCACCCACTGCCAGCACACCAGCATGTTACAGGGCTCAGCATCCATGTGGATAAGTTATAGGGTCCAAAGTGTGCATGCATGCTGCCTGTGAGAGTCAACAGGGGGATTCTGGGGATCCAAACCACTTCACACAGTGAATATAATGCAAGTGTGTGTCTGCTGGGGCATCCTCCTGGTGCGCCTGGCACCTGCTCTTGTACACGGAGTCACCGGAGGGCAGGGTCCTGGCAGCACCCATCCTGCAGGCAGAGCCATTGTGCAGCTGGGGCTTTGTCTGTGGCTGGAGGACAGCGAGGGTGCAGATGGGAGCAGATGAGGAGGGGAGATCAGAGGCTTAAGGAAGCCAAAGGGAAAACACCCGGGCCTGGAGCAGCTGAAGAGGGAAGATCAGAGCCTTGGAGCAGCTGTGGGGAAGATTGGATTAGTGCTTGGGAGATCAGAAGCCTGGAGTGATGGGAGGGAGGATCAGACAGGTAAGGAGCGAGGAGATCAGAAACCCCACTAGCCCATGGAGGTGTTCAGGTGGGATGGGACAGCTCATGAAGGTGAGACCAAGCAGGGTGAGGGGTTTATTGGTGCTGCTTGCATCTGCTGAGCTTTAATATGTGCTGGGTTTGCATTCCCCTATGATAGCAGCACAACGGCAGGAGATCCCACCCTACCGAATGCAGCATGGGGGATAGCACAGCAGCTCTTCCCAGGGGTGACATCTGGGTGAGTGGCTGTTTGCAGCAGGGAGGCACTGCAGCAATCACACTGTGTTTCAGTCGAGAGTTCCCAAGAGCTGCTAAAACACTGCAGTCCCTGCTAAGCCCCCAGCTGCATCCCTGCCAAACGCCCCTTCCCACTTGCAGGCACCATTCACTACAGGCTGTGTCTGGCTAAATAGAGCCTCGACATCCTGCGCCTGCCCATCCGAGCATGGAAATGCAGCGCAGCAGTTGTGAGGGAGAAGGAGCTGTTTAAGACACATAACTGATGGAAGAGTGGCTGTGCTGTTTCAGCTCACACGTGGCTGTGGATGAGGCCCGCCAGCATCACTGTGCTCTGATCTCTGCACCTCTGCTTGGAGGACCAGCTCCAGACAAACACCCCTGTTATCTGTGCAGCCCCAGCCCATGGAGAGCATCCCTTCAGGACCTGGGTTGGGGCAGAGGGAGGTGAGACGTGTCTGGTGGGGGGGACACAGGCCCTGGGGGAGGTGGGCTCCTGCCAGGCAGTTGAGCAGCACTCAGGAGGTTTGTGCTTCTCCGCCTGGTTTTCCCAAAGGAGAAATAGGAGTGAAGGTGGAAGGAAAAGCTTTCTAGAGAAGAGAGCACCAATCACTTCTCCAGCATGTGCTGTCCTCACAGTAATTGCCTATTAATATTCCAATCCTTGTGCTTCTTCCCCTCCTTCTCTCAACTGATGCAGCTTTGCTTCCCAGGCCTGCTTGCTGTAGTGGCAATGCCTCAATGATGGTGTGTTGGGACACCCAGCATGGGAAAGACTGGGGATCACTCAGCTGTGTCCCTAAACACACTGAGCCCAGTTTGGGTATTGATTAAAGGGATGGAGCTCTGGCTGCTCCCACCTTTGGACCATGAGGACCTTTGCCGCTGCAGCTCGTGGGGACAGTCCCTGCTGGGCTCCTGCCAGCCCAGCATTTGGTGTCCTGCAGGTGCTGGGGAGAGCCATGGGTGGCTGGATGGAAGCAGCTTTATGGAGCATGGCTAATTGTTTCGTTGTGCCTTTCAGGCCCTGAAGGTGGGCTGCAGCTCTGAGGATGCAGGGTCCAAAAGGAAGGGGGCAGGACCGTTCAGAGCAGTCTTTGGTATGGTTTCGCACTCATAAGCAAGATGTGGATGAACCTTGTATGGCATTTCCTATGTTTTCCTGTCTTCTCACCCACTTTCTTCTGTTTCCAGCTTGGGTTTGTTATTTTCTATGCCCAGTGGTGATGCAGGGCACTGCAGCAGGAGTTGAGCATCCCTGCACTGATATCAGCCTCGCTGCCATGAAGTCTGTTGAAGCCAGTGGGACATGGTCCCTCTGAACCTGCTCCATCCCAGCTCACCCTGGACATTCAGGGTGGCCTCCTCTGCAGCCCTGGTTACAACTTATCTACCCCGTGGGAGGTGTAAAAGGGAATGTACACACTGGCACAGGGCAAAATAAAGAGGTGATGGATGCTGCAGTTTCAAGGATGTTCTCATTGTTCAGTCAAAATGCAGATAGCAGAGATGGGAAAATAAGTATTTATGCACAGCTGATTTTGGAGGCACAAACAGAGGGAAGGAAGGTGTTTTGCCTGGGTGAGGATGGCAGAAGTTTGGCCATATTTGGTCCAGCATCTGAAAAGCTATGCTTAAAACAACCCATGGGAAGTGTTCAAGGCCAGGTTGGATGGGGCTTGGAGCAACCTGCTCTAGTGGAAGGTGTTCCTGAATGAGCTTTAAGGTGCCTCCCAACCCAAACCATTCTATGATTCTATGGTGCCAGCACCACATCTGGCATCTCACATACCCTGAGAGCCTCACATACAGGATGCTGAGTGTCTCCCTGCTCTGGTGGCATGCAGAACTCCAGTCTACACACACAGAATTCCTAAAGCCACAGCGGATCCTGCCCCATAGAGCTGCATTTGCCAGCTGCTGGTGCTTGGGGTGTGCCTGGAAGGGGGCTTAAATGGAAAGCTAAGACATCCTCTTGCAGAAAGGTGACAGCTGAGAAAGCAGAAACCTGTAAAACCTTTGAGCCATGTTATTTGCTAAGCTGATAAAAAGTAGAGTGCATAAATCTGTGAGCAGGGGAAATCCCTGCTGCATTCGCATGGGCTGCTCACTGTTCTGGAGTTAAGTAAATATAGTTCAGCACAAAAACAGTTTAAAGGGAATTTGAGAACATAATGAAGCTTGGAGAATTAGCTGAATAGGTTTCATTTGAGATTACAAAACCACAGTGTAATATAATGTTTAAATACCAATGTGGCTTCAATATTCCATAAAATATCTAAATAGAGATAAAACCTTCTCTGTCCTAGCATCAGCTGGTAATCTTATTACTGAATTAGTATAGCCATGTACACTGCGATCACCATTTTCCACCTAGCTTGACAGGCTAGGTAAAGGAATAAGGCAACAACAGAAAAGGAACTCCTGTTGGGGTTGAAACTCACCCAGCTGCAAAGCAAACCCTGATGACCGGGGCTACACCATGCTGCCAAAATGCTGCTGCCCCAGCATTGGATGGGGCAGGAGAGTGGTCTTGATTCTGGAGCAGCTCAAGAGGTTGGGAGGATGCTTCATGCTCATGGGAAGACTTTGTGACTTGGCCAGGTTGGATGGGGCTTGGAGCAGCCTGCTCTAGTGGAAGGTGTCCATACCCATAGCAGGGGTTGGAACTGGATGAGCTTTGAGGTCCCTTCCAACCCAAACCATTCTGGGATTCTCTCCATGTTCAGAGCCACGATGATTTGCTCAGCTTTTAATCATAGGAAGGTTTCTCCAAATGTTTTGAACTCTGGAATAACGCTGCTCACCAAACCTAATACCTTAAAAGGCCTCTTTTATGTGACTATTACTTTGGTGACCAAAGTGCCAGGGTTTTACAAGAGCTGCTTACCCTTTGATAACACAAAATCAGTGAATCTATGCTGACAGCTTCAGATGCTGCAGAAACCTGAGCAACCTTTCACCAGCATATGTTGCTTGCTGGATCCTTTCTTCAGAATAAACCGCAGAAGCATCTTTAGTAATTTAATGAGCAATAAAGAAGACTATAAAAAAACAAGGATAATTAAATGCAATGATAGATTTTAGCACCCTAAATGGTTACCAGAAGTGCTCAATCAAAACTAAGGTTTGCACTAGGCAGAATGAATAGCTCTTTGTTGCCCCATAATAGAAAACGCTTAAGAATAAACTGCAAAGGCAGATTTGGGATAGCATTGGAATGCCAGAAGCATTAAAAATCATCACAGCCTGCCTCCTGATGCCCCTCTAATGCTTGAGGAAAACAAATAAACCACAGCAAGAATAGGGAGCTGTTTAGCGTGCTGCTTTGATCTTTGTTCCACCTTTTGCAGGTATTTATGAAGAGTACTTTTGGCTTGTGATTTTCTGATTTGGAAGAGGAACAAATAGATTGGCAGTGGTAAAGGTTAGGCAGTGATGTGAGGTTTTATGCCTTTTTTTCCCTCTTTAAGCCTACTGTTGTGGGAGGTAAACCCTAGAGTATGGAACACTGGCTACCTCGGCAGAATGAAGGGTGATGTGCATGTGTGCTGTCAGGATGGAGTGTACGCACATTCCAGCCTCGCTGCCACTTGCATTTCAACAGCACGAAGAGGAAGGCACCAGCATGGACACAGATTCTTCCTTAATACAATAGTCTTTAGGAGAACTTGTGGATTAATTACACATTTTCATGCAACAACATGCTGCTAATTGTTTACACTGAGTCGCATTTGCTTATGTAAATGGTCTGAATGAGAAAATTCTGTAGTGTATAATTGTGATGGAGAATTAAAGAAATGGGGAAATGTGGAGGATGTCAAGGCAACCCTGTGCAGATGATGCTCTGGTGTGATTCAGGGTGACATAATTAGTTAATTCAGGCACTAATATCTCAGGTGCATCACAGAATGAATGAATCATCATAGAATGGTTTGTGTTGGAAGGGACCTTAAAGCTCATCCAGTTCCAACCCCTGCCACGGAGAGGGACACCTTCCACTAGAGCAGCTTGCTCCAAGCCCCATCCAACCTGGCCTTGAACACTGCCAGGGATGGGGCAGCAAGTACTTGAGACACATGGGCTGTAATTCTAACAGTTAATAGCCTGATCCTGCCCTCCCAAAGCCTCCCTATGACCTAGGAGGGAAGGGATGAGGATGGATGGGGCCTCTCCCTGGCTCTCTGCTGATGGGACCACAGCAGCTCGTCTAAGTGGTACCTGGGTGAACACAGCATTTGTGACCAGAGTCATTTGCCTGTTGTTGGTTGCTGGTAATTTGTAAAGCCCAGTGGGAAATCATGACTTTGGAGAAGTCTTTGAGCAAATAACCATGGCAGAGCTTCAGCGTGTAAAGAAGGAGTGTGAACAGCCTTGCCTGCAGGTACCGACGCACTCAGCGCTGTGGTTGGTGTGAGGTGTGAAGTGGATGGCGTTCCTCAGTCAAATGCTATCACTTGATGGTTTCAGTGAGCAAAAGCACCCCAGCAAGAAGGAAACCAAAGGCAACCTCTGTGTGGGCCACCAGAGAGGTATTTATGCTCAGTTCCCCTATTGCCCCTTTACAGCTCACTTTGGGTTAGTTACCGTAGGGTTCAGGAGTCTTCTTGAAGTAAGTTGGTGTAGTGCTGTAGAAGATATCAGCAGGGCCTCTTAAATGGAGACAGACCTAGGGAAATGCATGTTAAAAATAGAGAGCAGCCTGTTTTGCCTCAGAAGGGGCAGGTGTCAATGGGAAAGGTAGTTTCTCTGTAGGAAATGTCTCTGTGCAGCCGTTGGCATGGAAAGCCAGGACGGACCCTTTCACTGCTCCAGATCACAGCTACCTCGCCCCATGGATGAAGCTCTTTGTCCTCCTTGCCATGCAGGACTTGTCCTGGCTTTTACCCTGAGGATGCTGCCACACATCCAACCTGTGTAGGGTTCCCAAATCTGGTTCCCATCACCCCAGAGGGCAAGATCCCTGGTTGTGCAACCCTTCTCCTTCCCCAGGGAATGGTATTTCAATGTATTATGTGTCTAGAAGAGTTGTATCCTTGATCACTATCACTGATCAGGATCTACACATATTTAAATAGGTGGAAAACCCCCAGATTTCCTTCTTTTTTTTTCTTAATTTTCTTAATTTTACTTGCTGGGATTCAGATACTATTTCCTAAAGAGCATCTGCTCCTGCTGCTATGTAAAGATTGACAATCTGGAGCACCATAAAGAAAATGTATTTGAAATATTTGCTCAGTCAAGTCTCGGAGGCACTAGGCTGTCCAAAAGTGTTAATGCAGGCTGGAGCCTTTGCAGCTCCAACAGACATATTCGTTTTGAAAGGTGTTTCTTTGAGCATTAAGCCTTTCTCATGCTATAGGCTGTTTGCACTCTTTTGTCTTACAAACCTCTTAAACTTATCCCAGGACACTTCAAGTTGAGGCTTTTGCTTTTTTGGGGGTGGTTTGGGGTATTTTTTGTCACTGTTTTCTGTCTTAACTCAGAGAACTAAGAACTGATGAAGGGCTGGGTGTGCATTTCCAGATCCCTCTAGGATGGTTTTAGAAAAGATGATATGGAAAGAGGAAAACCAAAAGCACATGATGCCAAATGCGTACATGTTGTACATTGTGGGTTTGTATGGTTAAAGGGGCAGCTTTGAGTGTACTTTCAAGACGTAGAGGGAGTACTCTAAATGAATCATAGAATCTCAGATGGGTTTGGGTTGGAAGAGACCTTAAAGCTTATCCAGTTCCAACCCCCTGCCGTGGGCAGGGATGCCTCACACTAGACCACGTCACCCAAGGCTCTGTCCAACCTGGCCTTGAACACTGCCAGGTATGTCATAAATATACTCAACAAAAGGAAGAAACCTGGTTTCTTAGGATGGTACTTGAGAGATGAATTATGACATTGTCTTTGAGATTCGTTCTGGGCCATATATTATTAGTATCTTCACTTTTAGGGTCAAAAAACACCATTTGGAGAACTGAAAAGCTGGAAACTTTAACAAAGGACTAAATACGGTCTTCAGAAAGAGCTGTGTGATTTCTGGGCTTCACTCACGAATCAGATGTGACCTTGCATTCCCAAGATGTCATTCCCCCCAGCATCCCTGGCTCTCTCATGCATGGCAGGCAGTGGCTGCTGCAGACAGGGAAAGATTGGATCTGCTTCCATGGACTGTTGTTTAAGAGGGGGAAATCTCAGCCTCGAGCATGTCAGCTCATGTCTGAGAGGACCTGGAGGAGCTGACACGGAAAGACTGCCTGCTCATTGTCTGCTCTATAAACAGTGCCATTAAATCTGACTTTTAAAAGCACTGAAAAGTCCTGAGATGGACTGGACACGCAGCCAGGAAGCATTTATGGCTGGGATGCATCTGCCTACCAAGGTGAAATGCTGAAGCATTTGCTGCTCAGCTGCTCTGAGGTTACCATAAAGCCCTGAGAAATGACAAAACCCTAATCCCTGTAATGGGGCTTCTGCCTGTCTGCTGCCTGGGTGGTGGGACAGCACAGGGAGGGATGGAGCTGTGGATGCCCTCCACATCTGGGCTGTATCTTCACCTTTCAGGCCTGCCAGAAGTTGGTGTATCCACACTAATCAGCAACACCTTGGTTTAATAGCCACTGAAACAGGTTTCCCATGCTTTACATATAAAATGCTGTATCAAGAACATATTAATCTTGAGCCAAGACTATTTGGGCAGGAAGATGCTAACCAAGCGTGACTGAATCCATGTGAATAGGAAGCGTTTGCTTGAAGGAATTAAAGCAAATCTGAAATAGCAAAGTCCACTGATTAGGAGCATTATTACATCTCTCTGGTGGTGAAACAGCAAGTGGCAATTTCTGCTCCTTTCTTCATAGGCCCCACGTTACCTTGAGGGGATTGGGAGGATTCATACACTGAAGGTAACCAGATGGAGGATGCAGAGAACTTCAGCTGCAATCAGGGTACCTGTGAGCGACTGAGTTATTAATTTGAGTAAATATAAAATCATCTATAATATATATATTAAATATAAAACATATATACATATTTTCTATTTAAATAAATGTAAGAGCAGTGCATATACATCGTATTTCAGCTAGAGGCTGTGCTGCCCGTTTGGAGCTGGCAGTTTGCTTTCCAACTTCTTTGCACCTTGCTTTTCTCAGACTTGTGCTTTGAGTATTTGGAGCTGCAGGACCAAGTCCTTTGCTTCTTTTCTAACAAACACCCCTGCTTGGGGTGGAAAAAATATGTAAGAGAGAAAGATGGCCTTGTTAATCCTCGTCCCTTCCTTTTAAAACAGGAAAGTCTGGGATTTGCTTCTAAGGAAAGATGCTAACAGACTGGGAATGGTCATTTACCACTCTCTGAGGGTAAAGAGTTTCTTGATCTTCACCTGGAATTCTCCTTTATCGCACTCTTTTGCATTGCTTTTCTCTCGTGGCGAATATACATGGGTTTTGGTGTTTGTCTCCTTTGAACTGAGCTCATGAGGGGTTGTCAGAGGCTGGTTTTGTCCCATACGGTTCCAAGGGGATGAGTGTGAGGCTATGGGTGCTACAGCAGCCCTGTCCCCACAACAGAGCTATGATGGGGCACCGGCCAGAGGAGCTGAGCAAGGGGGTTTGTGTGTCCATGTGGGCATAGGAGATGGAGATGGAGCTGCTGGTGCCCCACTGCTCTCCCAGGGCAGCCTTGAGAAGCACAGACACAGCCTGAGGTGGCTTTGGTTGCCCCAGCACAGTGTCGTCACTCCCTGCCCCATCATTGATGCAAGTCAGCAGCACGGAGGGCTGAGCTTGGGCTGGTCGCAGCCCCATTGCCCACTCTTACCTGAAAGGTGGCTGTTCCCGTGCTTGCAGGGCCTCATAAACAGAGGGAACAAAACTATTTCTTTCCTTTCTCTTCCTGTGCTGCTTCCTGAGGCCCATTTCTCCAGCAGTTGGCTCCTCCTGACCCCCTCTTTCCCTGCTCCTCTGGCAACCATATGGCTTTACAATGGCAAAACCCCCAAAAGCAGTCCCCAAGTAACTATTTGCTATAAGCAAACCCTGGGACTTTAATGGACTCACCTCAGCCCTGCTAGTAAATATTTTATAGAAGACAGTAAATAAAATATGTTTGTGTTCTTAAAATAAAGAGGAGCTGTCAGCCAGCAAGCACCCGCTGGGGAGGACTTAACCCACAACTTGTCCCACCATAGAGATCCTGGTCAAGAATGGGACCTGCTGGGGAATGCATCCAAGCCCAGAGGATTTTGGCTTGGTGGGAATGGGGCTTAGAAAGGCTGTGCTGCTGGGTGTGTGCATCCATCCATCCATCCATCCATCCATCCATCCATCCATCCATCCATCCATCCATCCATCCATCCATCCAATGTGGCATTTCCGAGGTTGCCTCCTCAAAGCCTTAACCATGAAACCCAAGTCCTCACCACTTGACCTGAACTTCCGAGGCACCCACTGCAGCCCCACAGTGTCACTGAGCCCCAATTTAAACCCGACCTCTGTCACTAATAGCATTAACAGGGGCTGGTGGCAGGTCGGAGGGCTGCGGAGGGATGCTCAGAGAGGGATGCGGGATGCCTGCGGGGAGGGTGCAGGGCACTTGAAGGCGATGGATGGATGGATGGATGGATGGATGGATGGATGGATGGATGGATGGATACCCAAGGAGACACAAGCATGCACAGAGATGGGTGTAGGGCCACAGCCAGTCCCCCGCTGGCGTGGGGGGAAGTTTGGGCTGGGGAAGGCGGCAGCAGAGATTTACGATGCGGGAGGACAGAGCGTGAAAGCAGTATATCATCATCAGGTTGGGCTGAAAGAAAGAAAACATATCTCCAACAAAAAGCGGGGCTTCGCAATTCAGCTGCGTTGTTAGGACAACGCAAACTATCCTTGAAATGATTAGTTCCACTTCAAAGGCATTTACATTCAACAGGGGCAGACGCAGCCTCTTTTTATGTCTCCAGAGGAGGAGGGAGAAAAAAAGTCATAATAATAGAAAAAAAATTAAAACCAAGGAGGAGGTGGGGAGGTTTTGTGCTAAGGAGAGTCATATGTTTGCTGCTCCTATTTATTTTGCCTCATTCAGGGGACACTTGCATAAGATGAACAGAGAACAGGCAACTGCAGGGCTCCGGGGCTGCTGGCTGGGGTGGTGAGCAGAGTGGTCCAGGCAGGCTGCACTCAGTGTTGCCCACCCCTTAAAATGGGAAGGGAAAAGGCAACAGTTAAAAAAGAAGAGAGAAAAAGGCAACCCCTCCCTCCCCGCCCTCAAGAGCTGTCCCTGCCGGGACATCCATTATTAACTTGAGGAAGCGTGACATACGTTTGGTTAGATCACAAAGACTCAGGGTATCCTGATGGAGTTTGGGAAAGATTTGAAGCCTGAGGTGTCCCCGCGCTGTCCGGGAATGAGGTCCCATGGAATAGCCTGGCCTGGGATAAAGTTTTTACACCTGAAATCACACACCTAAACCGCTTCCTAGCGGCCTCCGCATGGGAAAACACCATTTGGTGTGTTCCAGGTTATCCTGATTGAGCATGAAGGAGGAAGAAGATGCTGGGATTAATCCAGAGGCAACATTTACCAGGTTCTTATCGCTTTCCCAAACCCCAACCCATCTCCTTTTCCCCTCATCAGTTTTTACATCCGAATGAACCTAGTCTGATTTCAAAGGGCATCACTTATTTTATCTCCTGCATTAGCTAATGGGGTAACTGTGTTCCCATTGTGCCTAGTGTTGGAAGTCAAAAAGCAAGCATCAGAACATTAAAATGCAAAGTATGGAGCATCTGTAGAGTTACCTGTGCTAATGGAGGAGTTCCCCATCACCTGAAACGTATTGCACCAGCACATGCATTGCATTAATGGGAAGCTTTGCTTTGTCCCTCTGTCCCCCGTTTCTGCCTGATGTTTTGCAGCTCATCCTTGCATTATTCCTCATCATTCCATAAGGGAAGAAAACTGAAGTGGTCAAAGATCCTGGGCAAGAGTTTCCTGAAATATTTTGTCTCCCACAGCTATCTCAACACATATGAACTGAATTATTCTCAATACTGGCGCTGATCAAAACTCTTCCTTTCAAGTCCCTTTTGTGGGGAGGTTAACACTTTGCACATTTGAAACCTAACAACTATAGCTAGGCTTTTTGAAAAGCATTTCTAAAGGTGTTGTGAACATTCTAATGCCTGCACCCACAAACTCTCTGCTTCAGCCCTATTGCAAAGCCAGGCATGAGGATGACCCCAGCTTTATGAAATAAAGAGCAGTGTGCAAGTTAGTGTTTGGAAATGAAATCCTTATTCCAGCTAAGCTGTAGCTGAAGTCAAGGTTTAACTGCTCCTTGGTTTAGGTTATAAACATGCATGTGAGACATTCCTGATTAATCCAAGAAGTTCCCTTCCCTTTTTCCCCCCATTTTCACTTTCTCCCACTCTTTTTCCATCAACCTTTTTCTCCCTGGCATGGGAATGAGGAGAGCTGGAGAAGTCAGCGCTCCCTTTTGGTTACTTTCACACAGGTTTTGGTCATCTCAGGTATGTTGTTTGCTCTGAAGAGCTTTGGCCCTGTGAGGACCAGTCTGGTGCTGGGTCTTGTTTGGATGATGTGGGTTGAGGAATTGTGTGCTGCAGCAACCAGAGTATAAAGATTAGAAATGAGCTTGGCTCTGACATCCACTCTTATGGTGGTGTCGGTTGCAGAAGAAATGTGGCCAAGCGTGCAATGGCATTAAGTGGTAATGCTGTCCTATTTTAGAGGGCAAATGCCCAAGCATTGGTACTGTGGAAAAAGAAAGAAAGAAATCTAGAAAACTCATAATAAAAAGGAGATAGTCTTGAGAATGAATAAAAGGGAGATAATCTGGAATGAAAGTCAGATGGGACAAGAGGGGAAGAAGGGCAAACATTGGCTGCTGCCTGTGCGAGGGGCACCATAGCACAGAGATGAAGCTGCGAGCACTGCCAGCCTGAGACCCCTTAGCCAGTGGTGTTAGTTTTCATTCCTAAAGATAAAGAAATGTTTTCAGTCAGGAAAGAAAAAAAAAAGCTTTTTTTTATTGAATTCCCTGTGAGTTCATACTTGAAAAATGTGGTTTCCATTTCTGACTTTCTTGGTTTATGAAACACTAGAAACAGGAGAGCTTTTCAAATCTCCCCAAGAATGAGGGGAGTTATACAGTTGTTCTGTCATTTACTCCATCATTTCAAAGCTGCTGTCAGGAAACGAAAGCTGATGCATGTCTGAGCTCCACAGCATCTTCACATGTGGACTTTTCCCTTTCGGTGTTATTCTGCCACCCTGTTCCTAAAAGATTGGCAAGGATGAGGGGGCCATAGGGCTGCAAGAGGGATAAGAGCATCTCTCCCCAGTTTGGTGGGGTGCTTGTAAGGAGAAACATACCAAGCAGAGAGGGATTTTCAGGCTGGTTTGGGAGGCTCTGGGCTCAAGGGGTGAGGCTGAATGAGCCTGCAGCATCTTGTGTTGTCTGGGCTCATTTTGGTTTGTTTGCTTGGCTGCTCCATGCTGGTGTTAACTAGGACCAGCTTTTGGTTCTGGTGGCTCTGGTGTCATCCAAGGTGTGTTTTTGGGAACAGGAATGAGGAATACGGCTGGTAGTGAGAAATGCACCCAGTTTCTCCAAGTCCCTTTGCAGAAGCACTGATTGCAGCCTCACCAGCAGCGATGCGAAACTTGGGTGAGCAGGAAAACCCTCTTGGGTTTGGGGGTTCACCCGGTGGCCTGATGCTCTGCTCTGGTGCCCTTGCACGGTGCATGCAGCGAGCGGGGAGGAGCAGCTCGGAGCGCAGAGGGGGAGCGGGCCAGGTGAGGAACGCCCTCACCCATGCGGTCTCTTCCCCCCTTGTTATCCCCTTGTCTTTGCCTTGCGCTGATTTTTGTGTGCTGCGTGTCTCCCTCCCTGCTTGTCTGCGCGGCTCCTCTCCCATTCTTGGCT